TCCTAAAGGAAATCTTGTTGAGATTGTCTGCTGACTGCTTGGACACTACATATACCCTGATGACAATGTCCTGTTTGCAAAGGACCTACTGGTCCTAGGTCGTACCAAAGGATCTTGGGGTCTATTCCCCTAAGACGTCTAAACACCCATGTACATGCGGTATTTTTCCAAGACTTCAAAAATTTTAAGTCAGAAAGGGAAAAAATACAGTTAATCAATCTAGATTCGGTCAGACAATATTATTTTGGTCTCTCAGCTAACAATGTCCTAGGTGCAAAGAATCTACTGGTCCTAGGTCGGACCAAAGGGTCTAGGAGAATAGACCCCTAGACCCTTTGTTACGACCTAGGACCAGTAGACCCTTTGCACATAGGACATCGCCATCAGGGTAATAAATAAGTGTTAAAGACAATGTAACGCAAAACGTAGTGAGTAGCAACTAAATTACAACAAGCTACGGCGATAGAAAAAAATGAATAAAAAATGTAAAAAGGATAATATGGGAAATCCCGATAGCCCCCGACTTGCGTAGAAAAAGGGTTTGGCTAAATTTGGTAGCGGAACCTGCTCTTCCCTCAACACAATGACTGTGAAATTTGTTCGTCGAGAGTGTGCTTACAACGGAAGTTTGCGTTTAGTTCCTGTTAATCTCAAGCACGCTTAGAGCAGTCAGTACTCACGGCAAGAAGTCGATTCATGACGTTAGCACTTAAATGAGGGTAGCAGAAAAGTGTTTATTCAATAGACAAGAACGTGCATGTATATAAACAAATTCAGTTATAAAGGGCACATACCTTAAATGGAAAACAAGTACAAAGGCCTACAACTGTCTCACGGCCATCTCGATCGGAAAGACAGTTTTACTAGAAAAAGACCTTTCAAATGCCTTTTTTTTACAGGAAATCCCGAAGGTAGAATGCCCCTCAAATGGAGTGCGACAGAGCTAGGTCCACTAAACCAAATGACCGTCCCGGCGAAGGAATCGTATGATTCAGTCGTGTTCTGAGTCCCGGTAAAGGGATTGTTCATACAAGCACACTACCAGGATATTGACACACAGGAAACTGAAATTACTTACACGAACACCAAGAAATTCACTCAACCGCATCAATACACCCGTTTTTGCCGCCTGTGATGTTTCTCAAAGGAAACCATGCAAAGTTTAATTATAAATATCTCACCCAAAAGACTAAGGATCAAAGATGATATTCCTCGCACCCAATTCTGAAGCTCCTTGCCATAATTTTCAAACAACTCATTTTCTAGTGTTGCCAAAATCAGCTTGGGAAAGACTGATATCTCAAAGAAAGGGAAGTTAGCTCTGATTATCGTCTAAAGGAATTCTTCCAGATGATGCCTTATCAGTCTCACGGGTCTTGAAACTTCAAATGAAATCCTGATTAAGATCAGGATCACATCATGTTATCACCAGGATTGCCAAACGGTTGGCTACCTGTGGCTCATGGAAGAGTTCATCTAGAAATTTATTGATTTAATTTGAATATTTCCCACTTATAGACTGTATTATATTTCGTTGTTCTTCACCACACGAGATACCCAATTTACGCTATGTATCATTTGCGTATGCATATGGACCGCTACCGTCTTTTAAACGAATATCTTGGTAGCTTCAATTAAAAAAATGATTACTCTTACTGATTCCATAAAACTGGCAGCCATGAAACGATGTCCCTTCTGTCTAAGAATGGGAAACTCGATCGTTCAGAGGTTCGGCGCCGAGTACATCGTCCATTTCATATTACGAAGTTTCGGTCTGGCGTTCGAAAAAGTTGTTTCCCATCGCCCATTCTGTTCGGCTGTGCTATTGACTGGATTCTCGGGAAGCCCTATATGAAGAGGATGGTGTTACGCATGGATGCCAGAGGACTGATCTCGACTACACCGATGATATCGTATTACGAACTTGCAGCGTTGGTGATCTACAGCCTATGGTGTCACGGGTAAACGAGGTCGCTAAATCGGTCGGTTTATCCATAAACGGTGGGAAGATCAAAGTGATTTCATGCTGCGTCTCTGTCCAAGAGAAGACATCTCTCAATATTTCTGTCCTTCAAATCTAAGAAGTAGATAGTTCCAATTACCTCGGGTCGACGTGGCTACCAAATGGTTACAGTGAGGATGACATTGTCACCTGAATCGATGCAGCTCGTCGACTTCTCTCAAGCTTTCGAAAGTGCCTTTTGACCCGACGCGATAGCTTCATTGCCACGAAGGTTCGAGTGTACTATGCATCCGTTCGGTCTGTTCTTCTCTACGGCTGTAAATTCTGTACGTAGAAGTTGAGAGGAAACTGGATGTATTTGACCATTAGTGCCTGAAGACCATCCATCGAGGGAAGTTCACCGACTTTGTCTCAAATGAGACAGTTCGCAGTCGCTGCGATAAAATTACAATGTTATATCAGGCCATGCAAGATAGACGATTGAGGTGGTTGGAACACGTTCATCGACACCCAGCTCACGAGCTTAATATTACTGCCCTCGATCCCACATCCTTACCCAATTGGAGGCGTCGACGAGGGGGTCAGCATAAGACCTAGCTCAACTCAGTGTGACAGGACATGGAAGGTGTTCTTGCAAGTCGAAATTAAAGTACAAAGTACTTTGGTCGCCACAACTTGTGAGCAGCATCTCAGTCTGGCTATCAACGATCAAGCCCTGCGTGCGTGTGTGCAGTGTCTCAGCTAGATTCTAATCTTCGCCTCCACCGTATTCCAGAGGCTATCCTGCGTCAGCACTACTCGAGGTGAGAGTAGTCGTTGTGACTGACATCCCCGTGTCACAAGGCACGGTGGGTGTCGCATCAGTGACCCACTTAATCATCGTACTCTGTGCGCCTTTGATCTGATCTCACCGCGTCTCCCCCGTCCCCCTGTCACACAATGTGCCGTTGGCGTGACCGTTCATAGTATATATTGAGCAAATATTCCGTGTTGTTTAGGGGGTAGAACCGTTCGCCGTTAGAATACTTCACGCGAAACCCCAATTTTGTAAAACCTTTACATGGTACGCCGGATAAATGGTCCAATTCTGTTCCTGAAGTTGGGCAACGTTTGTTGGCCACGACGGAATCCTCAGCTGCCTGTGAAAAATCGCATCTACCCTGGGGCCTTTTTGCAGTCTTATGCGGGCATATTTACTATTTAAAAAAAACTTTTCTAGCCCGCTCTACTACAATGGGAAGCAATGAATACCTAAATAGAAACCAATAATCTTTTTCAGTAATATAAGTGAAAATACGATTCCCAGGTAGCAACGTCAGACTCAAAGTGACTCCAACAAGAACTTTCACCCGAAACATCAGACATCAAATATACACCTTTCGGTGAAAGTCTGGTTACTTAAACGTAGTCAGCAGTAAAAATACAACAGCCATGTGCTTAATGTCGCAGTAGGTTTCTTATACACCGCGGACTACATGTATTGCCTCTCTCTCTCTCTCACTCACATTGTAGCATCGCTGCTTTATTCTTTGCATAGACACACACGCAATGGGCCGCAGTAGTGGACAGCGGTCTAGGAAGACAAAACCGGACAAGAAACAACAACGCAAAAAGCAAAAAGCCCTCATGGAGCGGTGCGTTCAGGCACTCAACCAGAGTGCTGCCGGTTTTCGCGAAAAGCTAGCCAACGGAGATGCCCTCAAACAAACCGGTGGTGGTGGTGACGTGGTGGAGCTTGAGGGGGCCTCGCGTCCGCTTGCCCACTTCCAACCTGTACGGATCAATTGTCTATCAAAGGAGGCGCTTTCCGATGCTGTGGATATACTCAGCGAGAAGTTCACTCTTGCGGAGGAGAGTGAAGAGGAGGCGAAGAAAGTCGACTAGATCTCCTCTGCCTTGCTGCCTTTGCCGTGTACATAAATGTATAATTTATTTTTGCAGAGAAAACAAAACCGGCCTTTAACCCTACTATAATGACAGGGATTCAAAGTTTAATCCGCTAATGGGGAAATCGAAGTCTTCATCTACCTATTTGTGCATGGATGGACATCACCAGAGATTTTATAAAGTGCATCGGCGGGCGATTACTGCTGCTGCTGCTACTAATACTGCTACTACTAGCACCATCACTACTACTACCACCACTACTGCTGTTATTACTACTGTTACTGCTACTACTACTTCTGATATTACTTCTACTACTACTACTACTACCACGACCACTTCTGCTATTATTACTACTGCTAATACTTCTTTTACTTTCATACTATAATTGCTGCTACTGCTACTATTACTACTACCACTACTCCCAATGCTACAACTACTAATAGTGCTACTATTACCATCTCTAATACCTCTCACAATATTACTGTTTCTATTAATACTACTACTACTGTCACTA